CAGGAAAATATAAATCTCAACCTAAACTACTGACTCAAAAACTCTGTCTGTATTAGGTATTTTCACAGGTGCTTAATTATTATGGAATGAGTATCTTTCCAAGGTCTGTGTCTGAACGTTTTCCAGGAGTCTTTCTATTTAACTAGGGAAAAGTATAGGGCCCAAATTTTTGTTTTATCTTTTAATCAGAATCCTGTAATCCCAACAAAGCATTATATTTGGTAGAGAAGTAAGAATAACTGAGAAAAATGTTTCCTATCTTATTAAGTGCTAGAAATATATATTTCTAAAGCGATCTCACTTGCCATAAAGTCTGACAGAAAAAAGTCTTTTAAATGGAGAACTCCAAGTATTATAAAATTCCCACTTCTACAATAGCAGAATGACAAAACATCAAAGAGGAAACATAATACTGTATCCTCAAAGAAACACAAGCACACTTGAACCTGAAGTCTCTATAGCACTGCTTCTAGGTGTCTGGTAAGCAGCTTCACGCTGCATTCAGCAAGGCACATCACCAGTGAGCAAGGAGGGAAGGCTGGGGTAGTAACACAGCAGCTGGTGGGCAGAATATCACATGGCGACTGCTTCCCAGCTCTGTGCACCATTTAGGAAATTAGCCAGGTTTACTATGAGATTTAACATGGATATAGAAAAGATTCTACAGTCTAGCATCTCACTTAAACCAAATTTCAGCTGTGACTGCCAAGATGAAAAGTATAGTCAATTTGTATTCTAAAGATCTAAAGTCATCATCATCATCATAAATGTCTCAAGCGAGAAAAGAATTAGCAAAAGATGCTAAAACTAGTGGGTGAAAGTATATGAAAAATAATATTTACACAGTGTCAGATTATCTCCAGTCCCCACAAGTTACTTACTCATTACAAAGGGGGAAAATAGTAACTCGATAGTGGAGAGATTATCCTAATCAAATAATCAAAGCAACCCCATTAATAAATGGGATAAGGAGATAGCAGATGCCTCTGGAAAAGTTCGCACTGAGAAGGACACAACAATCACTTCTGTGATGTTTCTGCCCAAACTGCATAGTCTGAAATCAATCATGAGTAAATAATAGACGAACCAAAATTAAGGGGCATGCTACAAAATAACTGGCCTCTACTCTTCAAAAATGTGAAGGTCCTGAGAAATAAAGACGAACTGAGGAACTATTCCAGATTAAAGATGAAAAAATTTGAAAACATAAGATAATGTCATAGACCAAGATAAATAAAATTTTATTTTTTTTAAGGAATTCAGTAGGACAAGTGCAATAGACTGGAAAAGGGATCTACTGACAAATTTCCAATATTCTGAAACTCTGAAATGAAATTTCACAGTAAATGTCCTTTTTAAAGTAAAATGTGTTCAGCTCAAAACTTCAGCACTACTAATTCTCTACTAAAAGGAACACAGAACCTGCAGTAAAATGAATTCCCCTCACTTCTGGTGGGTGTGCTAGTAAGTAGAAAAAGACAAAAAAGAAAAATGGAGAGCAGTTGATGGACCACATGGTGCTAATAATACTGCACCCTGGCTTTACCTCACCCATTCCTTTCTTCCCTTAGCAAGGCAAAAGCCTCTGGAAACTGACTAACCTGGGAAACTCTACTGTCACAGGGGCCGTGGTATTTGGAAGAGATCATATAGTATACAATCTTAGGTCTTCTAAAAGCAAGGTTTGATAAGCAATGGCAATGAGAAACCAGTTTGCTGAGCCTGTAATACTGAACAAACCAGTGAAATCCACAGCACCTGTACAAGCAACAGTGCAGCCATACTCCAGTCCTGCAGTTTTTTCTTACTTATGTGCCTGTACTATGCTTTAGGGGAACTATCTAGCTGTCCCCAGACCAGACGGCATCCAATAGCAACCACTAACACATTGCCAGAACTTTTAAAGCAATTCATGAAACAACTGTTTAACATGCAGCACAACATAGAATACTTTATCACCAATAATACATTTAAGCACCAGTTCTCCAAAAGGTTTTGTTCCTGATCCAAATGAGGCTTCCACCAGCTTAAGTGTGACCCAGACCAGTGTTGCTGCTTGTGTTCCAGGCTCTGCAAGCCCCCTTGGATCTTGAACGCTCTTCTACAGTCCCATGGTGATGTCTCAGAATACTCCTGATCCTTAGGGTTATGACCGTTACCTGCCCACTGGAGTCTCTTCTGACACCGTAAGCTCTGCCTCTCCCTACCACTCCCTGATGTTTTTTCATGGGCACCTTTACACAATGTGGAGATTATGTCATGGGTTAACTATACTTTCAAGCTGGCCAAGGAAACTAAACCACTATCCCAAACAGCACTTCTATGGAAATATAAGTTTCAAGGGCCCAATAGTTTTACTAACTAATAAACAAAAGACACTATGTTGAATAGAATTCTTAAAAGCTCATCTTTGACACATAGGCCAAAATGCAAGAATAAGGACCCTTTATCTTATTCATACTGCAGAAGCCACTGTAACAATCAACAAACACTGAAACCTTACTGAGTTTGTGAGATCATTCAATACACTTTACAATTCATCTTAACATATAATACTGTCATCTTCCTATTCCAAAATATAGGAATAAAATGCTATCTGAGAGCTATAACTAGCAAGTCAAGAGAGAGCTGCTTTTTGTACATGAAATAGGGTAAATATCAAACTGCAAGCACAAGAAGTATTACAATATAAGAAAGGAGAACATCTTAAAAGGAAACAAACACGCTATCTTTTTATGATACAGCAATTCTACTTGTAGCTTTATACTCAAAAGATCTGAAACCAAGGATTCAAACAAGTCTTTGGACACTCATATTCACAGCAAAATTATTCATAATAGTCAAAAATGTGTTATGGCTGAAATATGAAGTTTTGACTATGTGCTACAGGACCAACCACCTGTCAGCTGATGGACTTTTGGGAAGTAACTGAACATGAGGGCTCTTGCTTTCTCTCCCTTCCTGACTGCCAAGAGGTGACGCTCTCCTCCACTACGCCCTCTCCACCATGATGTTGTCTCACCATAGGCCCAAAGCCAACAGCTAAGCCACCACAAGCAACCACGGATGAAAACCTCTGAAAGTCTGAGCCAAAATAAATATTAGCTCTTTGAAGTTGATTTTCCCAGGTTTTTGTAACAGCACTGAAAAGCTGAGTAATACAAGGTGTTCGGTGGCAGCTGAATGCATAATCCAATTGTACAAAACAGCCAGAATGTAACAAATACATACAACAGAATATTAGTCTTGAAAAGGAAGGAAATTTTGACACATACAACATAGATGAACTCTGAAGATATTACGGAACTCGGAAGACATTATGGCACCTGAAATACAGGAGGCACAAAAGGACAAATACTTTATGATGTCACCTATGTGAGGCACTGGAGTGAAATTCAAGACAGAAGAATGGCTCCCAAGGGCTGGGTGAAGGGGAGAAACGGAAGTTACTATTTAATCGGTACAGAGTTTTAGTTTTACAAGCTGAAGAGTTCTGGAGATGGATGGTGGCTTACAACAAACTGAACGCACTTAAGAGGTGAAGAAGATAAATTTTATGTCTACTTTACCACAATAAAAATACTTTAAAAAAATGTCAGCCTGCTTTTTGAAAGTCACAAAACTGTCACTTGAGCTTCCTTCTTGCCGATGTTCCTGAGGTTCAAGGCTTCACAACTCCCTTTACATTAGCCATTAATACATATGCGCACATGTTATGCACACAAGTATTTCATATAGCAAATAACTTTAAAAAGAATAAAGAAGAAAAAGAATTTTGAATCCCTATGCCTCTCTTCTGAATTTGTTTTCTATATAAAAAAATATAAAATTCACAGTAACATTTAAGCCTGAAGCCAAAAATAGGGGGAAAAAACACATGCAAAAATTCTAAGCTGGACATAGTGGCACAGGCCTATAATCCCAGCACTCGGGAGGCTGAGGCAGGAGGATCACTGTGAGTTCACAGCCAGCCTGGGCTACATAGTGAGTTCAGGGCCAGCCTGAAATACAAAGGGAGACCCTGCCTCAAAAAACAAAACAAAACAAACAAAAAATTGCAACAAACACCCATCAATGGATGATTTGGGTTTTTTTGACATCTGATGGGGAAAGAGTACACAGTATCTGCAAAGGATAATTTACTGAAATAAAATTATCTCGAGTCTCAGTTTAAAAAGAAAATTTCACCTGCTTTGAGTTAGAAAACTAACCACTGTCAGCAGTTTACACAGATGACCCATAATGCTCTCTATGTAACTAACACTACAAATAGTAATGGTTTGAGAATGAGGTAAAGGAAGAAGGATCCAAGCACTAAGAATACAAACTAGGTTAGACATTTTTCTAAGAAGAACAACAAGGAATTATAAAATAACAACAAGACATACGGCAACATGAACTCTTTATGAGGTTAACTCTCAACTGCAGGAATGCCCCACCCCCACCCCCACCGCCATACCTCCCTCCTCAGAGTAAAAGCATTTTCATGAGACCTTCTGCAATTGGAAAATGAATATTTTGTTTACACAGTAGTTTCATTATTGTATGGCCTATAGTGGGAAAAGCTTCAAATTCTTTAGGGAGGGGGTGTGTGTGCACAATATAGTACACACTAAGAAAGCATTTCAGCAAGGGTTAAGACAAGGTTGAGGGATGTGACCTTAGAACATACAGCTACCCTAAAGGGGGACTGACTGAAAGATATAAATGGAAAAAGAAACCATACCTGGAAAAAATCTCTCTAATCTAGGTAAAACAAGAGTTGAATATCAATCATGGATTATGTCTAGCATTAAATTTTAGACCAGAATAATTTAAGAACATTAAAAACACAAAGCTTAGCATTTAAAAGAAAAGCAAAATAAGCAGCAAAAAAATGGGCAAAAAGGAAAATCTCACATCAAATATTTTAATATTGAATTTATTAATGATCATAAAAAGAATGAAGATTCATTTTAGAAAAAATGAGAAACAGATAAAGTGTAATCAGGCTGGCTTACCTCTCGAGTAGCTAGCTGGTTGCTGAGCTCCTCAGCCTTCTCAACGTCCCACTCCTCCACAGCCTGGTCTATCCTCTTTTCAAGGCCAGACTAAAAAGAAAAGAATCAGAAAAATTGAGGGCAGGAAAGGAAAGCAACAATTTGCTAGCAAAGACTGTTTCATAGTACGACACTAAATGCAGTACATGTGTAGCCCATTTAACTCTCACAGTAGTCCTACAAGGTTGTTGCTACTATTACAATTTACAGACAATAAGTCGTAAGAAACATTGAACGACTTACCAAGGTTCCATAATCTCTTGAATAACAAAAAGGAGGTGCAAATGCAGATTCTTAAGAATCCAAAGATTTCCCTTAATAACATTAATGATAATAATAGTTAAAACTTATGAAGGGATTATTATTTGGTAGACCCTGAGCTTAGTTATTAAGAAAGCTCATTTAATCCTAACAACTCCATGAAATATCCTGTTTGAAAGATAAGGAAATAGCCTGAGACTCCTCAACCTGGCCAAAGACAGGGTACCTAGGAACAGAACAGTGAACCCTGCCCAGCTAGCCACACCCAGTCCTATAGCTTAAGACTCTCCCTCACAGCTAGCTGTTCAAGGTCTCTGACTATGGACCCAAGGCCAAAGTTAACACGGGAGGAAATTACATTAAATGATTTAATTTTCCTATGGTAATGTTTTAATTTACTAAGGATGCTTCAAGAAATCATAACTAAAATTTCATGAGATTACCAGACTAGGTAAGGCTCATCCTGAATTTATGGAAAGATATGTTGATGTAAATAAAACGAATTCTAGCTTGTGAAAATCCTACAGAAAATAAAACATTTTTAAAGGTCTAATATATACTTTTTATAAAAAATTTTTTATCCTAACAATGACTTGCCTAGTATACCCTTAAGTTTCCACTCTGACAGACTGCACTGCCCTTATTTAGTAGCAACAAAAGTACTAAGAATGTCTCTCCTATCAGTATATTGCTCGATTACCAGTCAACTAGAGAATTTTGTTCCTGTGTAGCCTTTGTTGGAATGAGACTTAAAAAAAAAAAAAAACATAATCTGCCTAAAAAAGATCAGAGAAACCAAAGGCCAGCAAGGTTATCATAGACACCTGCCCTTAGGTAAAGACTGTTCCTTCTCAGCCCCTCCTCACAAACCTGAAGGACAAGACCAATCGGCTCTGGTAGCTGGAGACCTTCATTCAATTGCCCTTCATAATCTGTGACTCAGGTCTCACGGCTCCGATGCCTTCTTCACATTTTTTTGGTTAAACCTCCAGAAATTTCTCTTTCTCACATTTCTGTACAACCCTTCTCCTGGTGGGCTAAGTGACACTTCGAACTACCCCAGAAGTCTGTACCCTCAGCCAGTGGTACTCCTACTGCGCTCTCGGTACCAGCCGTGGCCTGTGAATAGTGCCGATCCATGAAGCTAAGGGGCTTGTGCCAGAATCCAAGTCCATTTCACAACTAACACAGTTTTTAGATGACTTTTTTCTCAGTCTCATCTTCAACAACACTATGCTTCCTAATCTCTTGCCTTATTTATTCTTGTCTTCCTAATCTCTTGCTCCCTGTGCCTCTGATGTGCTTCCCTTTGAAAAATCTTAACCACCTTTTCAGGCTCACATCAAATGTTACCTTCTCTAAGGCCTTCTATGCTTACTGCCCCTGCCACCGCTCCCCAGGCCCCACACCAGATCGCTCTTCACTGGACCTCATGTCTCCCCTTAATTTACTGATCTGACACAATGTCTCCTCTCTTGGGTTCTCTGCTCTGCTCAAGTAGACTCACTGGCTTGGAATCCCCCCAAATCCAGCCAAGTTCCTCATAGAAGGCACTCAGCCAGTCTGTGCTCCCGAGTTAATACTCGCAGTGCACTGATCCATATTTGCATCAATACTAAAAGGACCCCACCCACACTGCGAACATTTATTACACACCCACTGCTTTGAGAAGTCCCCAAGAGATTTCTACAATAGGAATATTGAGCTAATAATACCCCCATGGTCAAAAAAAGGCCCACATGTTATTATGCTCATTTATATAAATCTATCTGGGTATTAAAACATATATTCCCGAGGGCATGGGGAATATCTTCTTCATCATGGGCTCCCAGAGCTTAGAACAATAACTGCACCTAGAACTTCATATTTACTATTTAATTTATATTGAAAATAAAGTTTATTTTTAAAATCTTGATTCAAAAGCCTTTCCTTCCTGTGCAAAATATTAGTTATCTTCTCAAATGCCAGTGAGAGATGAAACAGAACATTAATATTAAAATCAATTGTCCCTGTATCGCAAATACTGGGTAGCTTGATAGCTCAACTCAAGCTAATAATCAGTCAGCACGGACCTGCTCCAATCTTTGACCTCAGCAACCTGTCACTAATGTACTCTTAAGCCTGCCTGCTTGCTCAAAACAACAACTGTGTTCGCTTACAATTATCTCCGCTTCCTGAGGTTACAGAAGACTTGAGCGTTGCATTCCTTTGCACCAGGACCTAGAATGATGACTGATCAGTGAGTAAAGAAGAAGCTACTTTTGCCGACAGTGCCCATAAACCCTTCAGTAGGTGGCCAGCTTACTGGGTCATCTTGCTCCATCAACTGGCTACTGACCATTTGGTCAACAGTGCTATAGCATAAAATTTAACTCTGAGTCAGTAAGTAGCCTCACAGGATTTGGACCTTCACCTGATTTGTCCAGGACATTTTACACACCAAGGGAGTGGCCTTGCTAATCACGCTAATAGGTGCAGTGCCTTGCTGTGCTTCTAAGCTGCCTTTCAGCTAGAATCAGAACTTAAGACATGTCTCAATGCAGAAAGACAAATGTAGGAATGGCAATTTGGCCACAGGTGGGAATTTCATCTAAGGGCAGTATCTAACAGGTTCCCACAAGGCAACAACCAAGATCTAATTAATAAAGTTTGTTGCCGATGCCACGAAGGCATGACTACAAACATCTGAGAAATTTATGGGCACTAGGTTTAACACTATGGACTAACCATCCATACATGCATCATAAATTTTAATATCTGATTAAGGCTCTTTTAGTCAAGCTGTACCCCAATAGATTTCTATAAAAATTTTACTACCAAATATTTATTCATTTGGATAACATTTAATTTTTAAAGCATAATACAAATAACTTACCTACTGAAATAATGTTTCACTATGACTGGACCTAAATATCTAGAGGAAAAAATGAGGCTGTTTCTCCATAAAGGAAAAAAGGAGAGCTTTTATACAAATATAAATCTTGTTTATCTTATTTACAAATCTTATTTATGATTTTGTTACCTTTATATGTAAATCATACTCATTTACATCATTTGAGTCAAGTTAAGTATAAACCAAGTCAGCTATTCAGAAAAATCCAGATTTGGAAGCAAATGACCTGGGTTTAAGTCTCATTTCATTTCTTACTTGTTTGTTTTCCTAGGCAAATTATACTAAGCTTCAGTTTCTTCATCTGTATTATGAGAATTAGCATTGGCCCTGCCTACTCACCCCACAGGGATCACAGAGGGATCAAGAGAACACTGTGTAATTGATACCAGGGGAAATTCACAGTACCACCATAACACTCCCACACCCCTGCACTCCCTCCCCGCCCACTCAAGGCAGCCAGGCTTTTGTCTGACCTGAGCACTGCAGTTCCACATAAGAGTCTGGATGGAACAAGTATGCCACTTTTTTAAAAGTTTAAAAAAGATATACTACACAATAGCAGTTTCTTCTCATAAACAACTTAAAAAAAATCAAAGATATTATACAAACACTTTAACAATTGTTAAAAGTAACTAATTTTCATGCCAAGAAGTATCCATTAGGTGCACTAGAATTACTGTAATAATGACTATTGACTAATCAAATTGATTCAACTAAATACTTGAGACATTTATAGTGAAATTAATGAGTGAAATTTATTCTAAAGAAATTCCCATAGATTCAAAAATAATTGTTATGATTACAGAATTATTAGTAAGTCCCAGAACTGCTGCCAGGAACACAATTATAGCTGTATTTAATACAAAGAACACTTTAAAACAGCTTTGGATATTAGGAAGATTACATTTTAAAATACAAGCCTCTCTGCATTGTCTGGCAGGCAGGTGACAGCGGTATTGTAAATACACATTCTGGGCTGAGCAACAGTTTCAGCGTGGCAGTGTTCCAAAACAGGAAAAAAAAAAAAAAGCCTGCATGATAGACATAAGATTAAGAAGTTTGTTTTGCTATGCTGTTCGTGAGGGCTGAATGAATACAAAATAAAAAGGCTCTCTAAGATATGGTAACAGATCAGCCTCTGCTCTAGAGAAATAAAATAACCAACTGGAAATCCATGCTAGTTTTGTCCACAGTGCATTACAGGTTTTCATGATCCTCACTAGATTGCATGAGCAATACTTACTATCTGCTGGACTTACATTTATTTGTAGCTTTTATCTTGGTCCTCCAATGTGGACATTCTTTACAGTTTATTTACTCTATTAGATTCACAGTAGAGACTTTAGCCCAACAGCGTAAGGGTGACATGTAAAACCATGATGCCAAACCAAAGAATGAGTATGGACTTGCTGGCATGCAATTACACTGAACTCGCAAGAGGACATGAAATAATTTGGCCTCAATAAATCCATTCTTTTCTTTTATGCTTGCATGTATGTGTAGAATATTAAGTGTTGGCAAAATCCTAGACTGATGCACACCTCACCAGCACCAGTTTCCTCATTAAGAAGACTGGCATAACTTTCTTAGTTATACAAAGGAATATAGGTGTTAACAAAACCCAAAGTTATAAAATAGACCAATAGGTGACTACAATAGGACTTACGGCAATTTCCCTTAGACAGAACTCTCACTCTTAGAATGGTGTTTGACTTATAATTTTCTTCTAGAACATATCTAATCCATAATGTGAGAGAACACTAGTTCTTAAAACTGAATTTAAAAACTTTGTACTACAATAAATCCTAGTATACTGTACTAAACAAATTCCAAATTCCAGACAATAGTCATATTTAGCCAATAACAAAGATAATTTCATATGTAATGTGACAATAAAATTCTAATAAAGATAGACTATAAAAAACATTCGCTAAATTTTTACTTTTTAGAATGGCTAAAAATTCATTTCATGGCTTTAATTTCAGCAAGAAACGATTTAGGCAATCTAAAGTCAATATAATGATCAGAAAACCTAATAAATACTATAAATAACTACAAATCAAAGACTAATTCACAAAAGCTTAAAAAAAATCCCAGTAGAACCAATATTTAACCTGTCAACATTCCTCTATGATTACGTGTTACTCTTTCAAACCTTTCCTCTGTTCTACAGACTGACATTTCTCAATCTCAGCCTCTCTCCTGAACCTCTATTGCTTTTTACTAATTGTACACTGTTCCTTGATGCCACTGAATACCCATACCCCAAAATGAACTCTGCATAGGCTGCACTTGAACACTGCTTCCCTTCCCAAACTTTCTTATCTTTATAAACATCACCGTGCACACCACTGTTTAAAGCAAAACCCTGAATCGTTCTCTTCCTCCTTATGCCCCAAAGCCTCCCCAGCAATTCATACACAATGCAGAAGCCAATGCTGTTGATTCTACTTTTACACTATTCCTCAAGTCCACCCAGTTTTCTCCATCTTCAGCAGTGCCATTCTTGCTCAATTCACCATTATCTTGTGCCTACAAGTTTAACTGATTTCTTATCTACTTTTGTTGCCCCATAATGTTTTCTCCACATTTAATGGCCACTGCAATCTTTTAAAATATAAATTTGATTACATCACTGTAAATAAATACTATTTCCCTGCTATGTCTTCTGAGGTCCTATTCAGTTTGGTCTCTCCCTCCAGCCTGACCACTCTTATCTCAGGGCACCCTCGCTATGCTGATTCAGTTGCAGCCAGGGTGGTCTTTTTAGTTATTCAAAGGCCCTAGGATAACTCTTCCTAGGATCTTTACCCATGTTATTGCCTCTGCACAATCATCCTTTATGTAGTTTTTTCCCCCACCCTATAGGTTTTTCTGAAATGGTATCTTCTAAGAAGGGCTTTCCCTTACTATCCAAACTCAAGTAAGGGTCGTATTTTCCTTCTTCGCTACAATCTATTCTTTTCCTTTCCAACAATTTTTATTTTTATTTTTTAGGTACCAGGGATCGAACTCGGGTCCTTGCGCTTGCAAAGCAAGCGGCGGAACCACTGAGCTAAATCCCCGGCCCTCTAACAATTTTTAAATGATTTGTAATTATACATCTACTTGTTTATCTGACATCTTTTTGGTACATAATAGTTGTTTTAACTTCTTAATCAAATGAATCAATGAACAAGTACCTTAGGTAAGACTAATCACAAACATACACTACCATTTAATACAAAATACAATTTAAAAGATCCTACCTTTTCAACCTTTTTCTTTTTAACAGGGGGTTCAAATCTATCATTGGCTCCAAAATACTGAGTAAGCTCCTTCCACTGGGTTTCATTTAGGGACTGCTCACTGCAAGAAAATAAACTTTTAAGTTTTGTTTTACTCATTTTTATTTTTACTATGTTTAATTTGCTATAATTATAATCATTAGATCTTTATGTTTGATTACTATTAGAAATGAGTTTAGCTATTTGACAAGTTCTACAAATACTGCCTAAAGTAAATAACTATTTAAAATTCTTCCTACCTACGAGATTCTTTTTCATTCTTCAATTTACCTGAAAAGAATTCACAAAGCATCAATACTTCAGTTTTTTCAAAATGGTTTTAAAAAATTATTTAATTCAATTGGTCACAAATGAAGTCACAATTTAGCATCGGGACTATGGACAATCTGAATTAAAAGAAAACACCTTTTCTGGAGCGTTTTCTCTTTCTCACTTTGAATCTTGAGGCCGCAGTTTTCTGTTCAGAATGTTTCTTATGCAATTCTTGAAATTTCTATGTAAAAGTTTAAAAGAGAAAGAAATACATTTTGAAGAAAAACATGCATTTTGAAAACAACAAATGTGTTAATAAAAATACTTAACATTTTGACATTTATAAGGATATCAATTAATGAAAGTAGGAAATACACTATTACCAAGATGCTCACAACCTGAGCTTTGATATTCATTACTTTTGGTGTTAAGTTGTTTGATAATTGAGAGTGAAATTAAATGACTCAGATAAACAGATAAAATGAAGTGAGAAACTCCTTTATCAGGTCAGGCACAACAGTTAATTCTATGTAGTATGTTTTTCCTTACTCTTTTTTATGAAAAACAGCAACAAAAATCAAAATAACACAAGTGTCAGTGGACTCAGAGAACAGTGAAAGTATTCTGGGCCCACTTTCCCTACCTGCTGCGTCCTAAGAACGCACATTCTGACCAGTGTAAAACACAAAGACAAGGCTTTCACAAGGGCACATCAGAGAAAACTTACGTTCCACATATTTAAGGGAATTCCAGAAGGGCACTCTTCATATGCATTTGCCTTGGCCTCTGTTTCAATTTTTGGTCCATCTGCTGACAAATCTGAGACTTCTGTGTCTTTAATGGTCCCAGCCTCTTTATCTTCCTGTAAGTTATGATCAAAGTTCTGTGATGTGGCCTCATCTTCAGAATTCGACTCAATATCACTTTCATTTAGGCCAGGAGGCAGCAGTCCGCTCCACATCTTTTCTTCTAGAACGAAAAAAGATGAATTAAGACACAAACAGTAACACTAGAAAAAATATCTAAAACCATTAAAAGACAGCTCAAGAGCCTAGTAAGTCTACCATTGGTCTAGGAACAGTTCATAAACTTAAAAAAAAAAATCTTAGAGCCCTCTATATTAAAATAGCTAAAATCTTCACTTGTAAAAGCTTTTAAAAAGTAAAAGTAGTTTAAATGACTTTTTCAAAATATGTCTAAAGAAAGACAACAGGACCTCGATTTTCTAATATATGGGTAATTTTTTTCTAAAAATCACCAACATTCAGTAATTGCTCAAGAATGTTAAAAACCAAACAGTGTACTCTGCAGGCAATATATTTATATTTCTAGTTATACCAACTAGACAGTAAAATAAAGGTGGATATTTCACCTATATTTGAATATATAAAACTTTGAGGGAGCTTATTATGTAAAGAACAATGAGACAAAAATTTAAGCTGATCAGTTTGAAGAAGTATAAAGGATATCTTAGTTTTAAATTTTACACCGTTTGCTAAATAATACTAAATGAAATATAACTAACAATTTAACAATACTGTACAGCTTTTTTAAATGAAACACTATATTTGGGAAATTAATGTTAAAATTCAGGGTGACACTGTATTTAACATTAGTTGCATAGTCCACTGACAAAATAATTAATTATTACTCAGTTTAATGGAAATGATTTTTAAATTAGAGTTGTAATCATTTGCTAAAATGATAACTAAGCACATATTCACCACTGGTCTCTAGAGCACAGCCTACTTTTTATGTACATGCTGAGCCAAATCAGTTCATTCAAAAGATGTCTGAAGAAAAGGAGCTGGCTGTACTCCTCATGACTTACTATCAATCTGAAGGGGTGAAATGAAAGGACAGAGATCTGTTTTGCTAAGTTTGCTGTTAAAAATTTTGATGAACCCAGTAAGAAAACCATTTCCATTATATGTGAGACCAAGACACCAGGGGTTTGCAGTGATTTCAATGAGAGTGCTGTTTTCTTTTAAGGACCTCTTCCCAGGTCCAAAGACTTGGATTTTATGTTTCGTGGTTTTGGTCCAGCCTCATTAATTGCTGGTTCTCTGAAATATCCTAAAATATTCTCTTGGCTTTTTAAGGAGGAGGTCTCTGGAACTCCTCCAACTAGAATCTGGGCTCCGCCACCGACTAGTAGTACAAGGAAATCATTTATCATTTTTGACCCTCAGTTTCTTTATCTGTAACAAAGGGATAATTACACTGCCTATAGGGTTATCCCAAGGATTAAATGAAATAAGGCACTCAACAGAGTATTTAGGAGGTTCTAGGAGCTCAATAAATGTTAAATTTCTTTTACTATTATTATTTCTCTGGCTATGTATCACACTTTTATCATTTCTATTATGAGTGACAGGATTCAAAATATGGTTCTGAAGTCTCTTTCATTCACTTAGCAATTGATAAAATGATTGATTTCCCTATTTCCACAGTCTGATACAAAGTTTCTACTAAAACACTTGATATTTAATTTTCTGGATAGAACAATAAAATGAAAGGCAAATTACCAGGGAGATGAAAGAGTCCCTCATTGGCACAGGCCCTTTCAAAGAGCATGGTAGTAGATTTTCTATTCAGAATTTGCATTTTTTTTTAAAATAGCAGAGACCCAAAATTTTACAAGCTCCAGGCTCCATAAAACCCAAACCCATTCCTAAACCTAGCCTGTGGATGTTAAAAATTGGGACAGAAATACTCTTGAGATACTCTGATAGTACTAAAGACAACATATAAAAGATGCCAATAATGGAAAATGACTGTCCTATTAATAAAAATATTTCTACTGAAGAGCAAGAATGGAGAGCAGTAATAAACTCCAACATGACTTTGGCACTGACATAAAAATATGCCTGTAGGCTCATTATCTATTTAAGGACTTGAGGACAGCAACAAATTTCACATTTAGATTTCTTAACCTAACTGGGGTCTGTATTAGCACTGTTTCTTTTCCTGTCCGCGGCACTTTTTACACTCACTGTGTGCTAAGCACTCTTTCAGACCTTGGAAACAGAAAGACACGAAACAGTCAGAAAGACACAAAACAGTCAGAAAGCCCTATCCCCACGGGGGACAACTACATACATGGCAGGTTTCTGTCAAAGAGCAGCCAAGTGTCAACTCAGCCTGGATCTTACAGGGCATGTTTTCCCTAAAGGGCAGCTGCAAGGTCTGCTGCCAGACCACTGCTTTTGCATCTCTGCAGGAGGACAGTCTATGCCTAGGGGGCGAGGGCCAAAGCGGGCTGTTTATATCATTGAAAACTCTAAAAGGTTCGCCATCACTGGCCTATGCTCTGGGGAACAGTCTCAGTTGCCTTAAAGACTTGTTTTTCCTCAACTGGCTTTTAGCCCACAACAGCACATATAGGCAGAAAATAGTACATCAATAATGCCAGTCATCCATTTTTCATGGCTTTCTGGGCTTTCTCAAAATTATTCCTACCTACATGGCATTAAGAACTGTCTTCAATGTGACATTTATCTAACATCACAATTTGAGTGTACTGAAAGAAAAAAAAATTAAAACAACTTTAAAAAGTGGAACCCACCTTCAAATCCATAAAACAAGGCAAAATTCAAATAAGGGTTATGTTTCTGAATTTACTTCTTGAAAATCTTTAGTCATGGGCCATTTTCTTGGAACTGCTAAAAACCAAAACAAAAAAGGGAGACTCAGAAGACACTGCTAAGCACAGGTAACTGCTGCCACTCCCTGTGGAGCTCCCAAAATGGAAACATCCAAAACGCAGCAGCCCAGCTCTCATCAGTCAATATGCACGGCTGCTTAGGGACTTCTGTGCGGGCTCCTGCTTGGAAGCACCCTTCCTCTGCACAGTGCGTACAAGTTACTCATGCATCTTCTAACTGGCACCATGTCAGGCCTTCTGTTATTCCTGTTTGGGGTTGCTCTGGAGAATCACTTTTTCTTTAACGTGTCTTTTACTCATGATTTTCATAGTGTATTTCTTTATTTTAAAGCAGTTAACTCCAAATTACCCTTTAACTGGAAAAATTCACTCAACCATTCTCAAGAGATATGTAATACCAAAGTAGAAACTTTTTAAAAATGTAGATTATAGCCAATGTATTCATTAATAAGCTTTCAGTTTTTAGTCCATAACCCAAACAACTACTAATTTTAGTCCCAAGGAAAATGGGAATGATTCACACCTTTTTTCTCTACAGTTTTGAATATCACCTTCTTTATCATTTCATACATTCTTTACCTCTGGATTTAATATTTCTTCTAACCCAAAAATCCTACAAAACATTCTGTGTTACTATGCAGAACATCTTAGCCCTGCGATGACATTACTATAAACTAAAAATATTTCCGTATGACACTGGTTTGAATAGCTGTGCATTCTTTTGCCCCTGAAAACCAACCATAATCATTTAACACCCTTGGGCAGTGGGGCACTGTTTTAGCAGTTTCTATTCTGTATCATGGCAGTAACTGGAAGCACTAAGTTAATTTCAATATTTTCAAAAACCCAATATATTTTTCCTCCCAGTGAGACAAAAATCATTCACCTTTAGGCGAGGAGACTTAAATTCAGTGAAGCACTCATTATTCCTTAGCTACTAGAGATGCTGATTGCAATCTATGGCTCTGACTTTTATAAGAAAAACAATTAATGAACATAGTTTAGTAAAATCTTTCAAAATATAGAATCCATAGAGTTTCAAATTGTAACAAAAGGAGTTCTAGACTGTGCAAGAATTGGGAACTACTGGTTATAGGGGCAAAACTCTGTCTTCAAAGTCAGATGATTTCTAGTCCAAAACAGTTCACTGTATTTGTCTGGGTCTCCTTCCTAAAGCTTTAAAAGAAATATGTGATCAGATGATCACTGAGAGGATTCTAAAATGTTTCTTTATGATCTTAATATTATCAAGTGATCCCAGATACCCAGAAGCACCTCACTCCTTGCTGTAAAATTCCATTTTCTTCCAGCATATGCAATCCTGACTAAATCCCAAGAGAAAAGGCTTCCATCCTCTACCCAGCAGCCCAGATAAGATTACAGTTTCAAAGAGCCTGTACATCAGGACACTGAGAAAAGAAAGAAAACCATGGTTACAACAGAACACAGAAGGAATAGAAAGAGGAAATAAAGCAGGTCACTGTCACACATGGCATACAACGGGCCAGGCAATGGTTTACCATTAATCCTCACAACAATCCTTTCACCAAAAATTACTATCTATATCCTTTTTATAGGTGAGGTAAATGACTTGCCTAATAATCGTGATCCACTTATTTTACAGAACTTGAACCCTGTGGCTTTAAATTATGAACTTTTAGAGGCCAGAGCTTCGAGGGGTAACATTCTTGGAGAAGACAAAGATTTAAGAGTGGGTCCAAAGAAAGATCCTAGCCTGTAAGTACAGACTTGCTGAAATTTAGTTAGGATTTTTCCCTGTTCTTTTTAAAGTACAGAAATCTACATGTTATACTAAACTGCACACGTGAAAGTCACATTCAGAGATTTGGGTAATAATGTCATATTTCCTGGAAGACGAGGCAGCTGCCTATAAACAAAACCCCAAAGATAAAATCTGAACAGCTTCAAGGATAAATGTTTCTTGTCTCCTATAGCCCAGAAGTAAATTCCACTTTTATCAAATAAAGCCACCTTACATCCTATATTTTGTATTCAATTACCAATAATCACTGAAACCTGAATCTTGTCTAATCTAATTTTACTTGTGAAATAATCATAAGCCACCATACACTAATCTTAAAGATTTTGTTAAGTAATTATACAACAATCAGTTTCTGTGATTTGGAATTACTTGACTAAAATACGTGTGAGCACGTAATATCAATATTAATGTAAATGTCCTAAATTACTTTTATGAAACAAATGTGTTCCCTTTTCTCAAAAAGATACAGAAAATATATCTGACTAATAGAACTGAGTCAGGATTGAAGTTGCCAATCTGCTTATCCAGATAAACTATTTAGCAGGATTTTGCATGTATGCATGTGTTTAATTAAAGAGTTTAATTAGACCCGAGCCTGGAAAACACTTCCCCAGACCCTTGGCCTCGCATGGAGAGATTTACAATTAACCAGTAAGATTTCAAGGCTCACTTTAAGTCGATGCCGCTGTGAGAATACTTACAAGCTTCAAGACTGCAAGAGGGTGGCTCTAGAAGGGTACACCTTTTCCTGTTTGGCTGCACAACCCGGAACTCGGCAGGCTCTCAGACGGCAGTGCCGCACTCCAATCCCAAAATGGGGAGCATCCCCTCCCGGCCACAGAACTAAGCGCCACGGATTCCGGCGTAGGAAGTCTGGCCTATTATCTGAAGCTGCTCTCGCGGATACAAGAACTGTAAAGATGAGCCTGTTTCCTTATTCAAAAGCTCCTCACCCTTTCTCACTTTGGCTGGGACTGGACAGAGGATCCCTTTCCCATTAACTGGCTGGGGAAGGCCCCGCGACGCCCCCTCCCAGCCAAGCGGAACGCAGCGCACCTTTGGACCCTCTCGGAAGCTCTCTAAACTGTCCCCGGCACTCCGGCCAAGGAACTGTGAGGCTGCTCAGCCTGGCCCCTCTGCTGCCCTCATGGGGCGCCCTTGGGCCCGTCACGCCGGGGAAAGAGCCCACCAAGAACCAGCTCCGCGAAAAGCCGTACTCACCGGTCAGGAAGCGGCCACTCGGCATCCATCTTAAGACCTCATCAATATCGTGCATTCTCATTGGCGTTGGCGTCTCAGCCAATGGGCTGGGGCCTTCTGGTCCTGGGTCGCCATGGTAACGGCCTCGCCTGGCTTCCTTTTTCTCTTGGCCTCGAGGAGACGGTTTCTTCTCTTTCCCCTTCTCTTAGTGGTTTTTCTCTTTCTACTGAACGTTTTTAAGGGCTTTGTTTTTTTCCATTCCTTGCCGTCCTCTGGTGCCTCCGGGTGAGGAAAGTGCTGACTTCAATAGTGAGCTGAGTTCCTTCTAGGAGAACGAATTGTAGACTCCCTATGCTTTCCGGGAACGTGTTCATTCATCCTTCTTCTTCCCTTCCCTCCCTCCTTTCCTTCTTTTCTGCACATATTTATTTACAGTCCACTGTGTTCTAGATACCAAGCCACACTCTCGTTAGCGGAAGACAGCCAGACTCTTGCTCTCTAAGCGTTCACTGAGTGGTGATTGAGTCCAAACTGCCTCACAGACAGGTTGTGTGGCCTTCGTCAAAAGTTTATGAATTGTTTTTTTCATGGAATGCAGTATTTTAGGGCCTGAGCAAAATCCTGGAGGAACATAGAAAATAAGGACGTAGGGAAGAGAGGGAGGCTGAAGGAAATAAAATAAGGCAATGTGATAGGCATAGGACTGTTTTACAAATGCTTCCATTTTCCATAATTGTGTCTTGTAATAAGATTAAGGATAGTACTGTTATTGTTATGTACGAAAATAGACATACAGTCTTTAGCAGGTTAAAAGTATAAACTTTAGATGAACTTGCTAAGCAAATAATGAGCAAATAAATGATTGATGAATGTTATACCACCCTGAACCAGTAGTAAAAGTTCAGAAACACCACCTCTGGGCAGACAATCTAGAAATGTTGTTGTTGTTGTTGTTGTTTTTTAAGGAATTGGTACAGAGAAACAGCTTGATTGGATGTAGCTGGCATTTGCCTTATACGGACATGGTCTGATCAGGCGGCAGGCTGTGATTGGCTGAAGCTTTTTTTGTTTTGTTTTGTTTTTGGTAACCAGCCTTGAACTCAGGACCTTGCACTTGCAAGGCAGGCAGCGAAACCACTGAGCTAAATCCCCAGCCCCTGACTGAAGCTTTGCTGCTATTAAAATCCACTTAAACTCCCGAAACTTGTTGCAAAAGTTCAAGTTAGGTTGCAGTTCAGTTCAAGAAATATAGTTATTCAAAGTGGAGTCAGCTTTAGGTCAGATTTAATGTATTTTAACAAACGCATCTGACCCACAGTAATTTTCAGTCTTAGCAATTTGATGATGTTGTTGTTGTTAATATGGATAAAACAGCCCTAGTTTTTTGGAAGCATTCTAAAGAACTATGAAGATTTTTCATTGCACTCAGTAATAGATCTTGATTTAACAAAAACAAAGAAATAAGACTTACTTAACTACTCACTAACCCATCTTACCTCCAACATCTTCCAAAACGTACGCCAGTCTATAGAGCAGTTTTCTATAACTCCAAAATCATGGTAAAGCCTGAATTTTTTCTTTTTCTTGCCCAAGAACCCTTCTTATACTGATGTTCCCTGATTCCAGGGTAGAAGCAAGATTGAATGTGTCTTAGTTACTTTTCTCATTGCTGGGACAAAATACCCAACATCCAAAGTTAAAGAAGGGCAGGTTTATTTGGCTCCCAGTCTGTAGATATTTCAGTCCATAATCAGCTGCTTCAAGGAAGGGTGGCATGGCAAACAGGCATCACAGAGGTGGAACAGTTCATGGCGGGCACAAGGTAGTAAATCAAGCAAGCAAGGGACCAGACACACCTTTCTGTCTCTTATATTGTATCCAGGCTACCAGGATTAGGATGGTGCCAAACAAATGAGTGGACTGATTTAGTAATCACTCATCCTTAATCCTAGCACCCTTAATTGCAGCACGAGTCAATCACACAATTGATCTAGCTATCTCTGGAAAACCCCCACCTATGACTGCATGAAGCTGGGGAGACATCTAAACACAACCCATAACAGAATGATTTTAGAATCTTTATGAGCATCACCCTGATTCCAAAACCAGACAAGGATCCAAACAAAAAGAGAACTATAGACCAATCTCTTTAGTCCATATAGATCCAAAAGTCCTGAACAAGATACAAACAATGCAATAAATCATCAAAAAGATCATAGAGCACCCAAAAATTCCACCAAAATACTACTAGAATTAATAACCAAATTCAGCAATATAGCAGGATACAAAATCAACACACACAAATCAATACTGTTCCTATACACCGGTAATGAACCCATTGAGAAATTAGGAAAACATATCATTTAAAATAGCACCAAGAAAAATTAAATACTTAGGAATTAACCTAAGGAAGTGAAAGACCTCTACAATGAAAACTATAGTACTCTGAAAACAGAAATTGAAGAGAACATCAGAAAATGGAAAGATATCCCTTATTCCTGGACAGGCAGAACCAATATAGTCAAAATGATCATATTTCCAAAACTGATATAAAGATTCAACACAATCTCAATCAAAATACCAACAGCATCATTCACAGAACTGGACAAGACTATCTTAAAATTCATATGAAACCAGAAGAGACCTGGAATACCAAAAGCAATCCTGGTAACAAGAGCAAAAAAGGAGGCATCACAATCCTGGACTTGAAATTATATTATAAAGCTAACAACAAAAACAGTATGGTGCGGGCACAAAAACAAATGTGAGGATCAATGCAACAGAATAGAGAACGCAGGAAAAATAACCTACCACATTCAATTATTTGATCATCAACAAAGGGGCTAAAAACATATAATGGAGGAAAGATAGTCTCTTTAATACATGATGCTGGGAAAACTGGCTATCCACATGCAGAAGATTGAAGCTAGGCCCATATCTCTCACCATGTACTAAACTAAAATCAAAATGTATTAATGAACAAAAGGTTAAAACAGAAACACAACTTGCTGGAGATAAAATAGGTAAAACTCTTGAAGTCGTGGGTGTAGGCAAGGATTTTCTAAACAGAACCTGAGTACATAAGAAATAGTACCAAGAATCAACAAATAGAACTGTATCAAATTAAAGTTTCTGCACAGCAAAAGAAACACCCAACAGAGTAAAAAGACAACCTATAGATTCTGGGGGAAAAAAATCTGCCAGCTATTTCTCAGATGACAAATAGCTAGAACATATAAAAAATTAGAACCCCCCCCCAATAAAAGAATAGGCATGTGAAATAGATACTTCACAAAAGAAAATCTACAAGTGGCCGATAAATACATGGAAAAATGTTCAACATTGTTGACCATTAGAGAAATGCAAATTAAAACGACACTGAGATTGTGTCAGCCCAGAGAGAATGGCCATCATCAAGAAATCGATGACAAATGCTGGCGAGGCTGTGGGGGAAAAGAATTACTTCTACATTGTTGGTGGGAATGTAAACTACTACAACCACTGTGGAAACTGGTATGGAGAGTCCTCAAAAAACTAAAACTAGAAATTTCATTTGACCATCTATTCCCCTTCTAGGCATCTTCCTGCAAGAGGTAAAAACATCATATTACCATACACGCATACCAGTGTTTAGAGCAGCACAATCACAATAGCTAAATCTTGGAAGCAGCCTATATGTCCAACAGTGAAGGAGTATAGAAATTGTGGTACTTACACATCATGGAGTACTGCTCTGCTATAAAGAAAAATAAATTTGAGTCATTCGTAGGAAAATGGATGCATTTTGAGACCATAATGTTAAGTGAAATAAATCAGTCGCACGATCTCAAATATCACATTGCTTCCCTTGTATGAGAAACTCAAAATACAAATACGAGCAAAATAAAAGAGATAATAAGAAGCAGCGAGATGGCTCTTTCTCAAATGGGAAAGGGAACCAAGACATGGAGTGAGAGGGAGATAGGTGAGAAAACAGGATGAAAAAAGGAAGTAAGATCTGTTATACATACGCACCAACTCCCCACAAAGAATGTAAACATGTACTGCAAATGTGTACTACTTTAAAAAATCTGTAGGAAACTCTCCTGGACAAACCTATCCAGCTTCTTTACAGGGTTTTTAAAAATTCAAATCTTTAATATATTAAGTAGTTAAAGGAATGTAGTATAAGAAATTGCTGTTGAAACTGTTTGCCTTGAGCTTCTTAATTGCTGTATTAATCTGCTTGTGCTGCCGGAATAAAATACTGCAGATTGCCTAAAGAACAAATTTATCTCTCAAGTACTGAATGCTGGTAGCCTACTAGCAAAGTGGAGTTATCCTGAGGCCTCTTCTCTTGAGTTGTAAACAGTCACTATCTGCGATCACATGGCCTCTTTGTGAGGACAAGCTGAGAAAGCTCTCTGTTGTCTCTCCTCTCTTCTTATAAGGACTAATCCTCCTGGATCAGTGTTCTACCCTTCTGACCTTATTTAACCTTAACTACTTCCTTAGAGACTTCATCTCCAAGTATAACCACATTATGGATTAAAGCTTCAACAAATTAATTTTGGGAGTACAACCCTTCAGCCCATAACAATTACTGATAGTGAAAGTGTGACCAGGAAGGGGGGAAAAGAGAGAGAAGGGAAAAAACCCATGGCATGGAGCAGCAAAAACGTAATGTTGGGGTTACTATTGAAGAACTCTCTAGATTACTTCTGCATATAGTCCATTAAATCATGATATTACTTAGTACTTTTGAATATGACATGGCTAGAGATGGAATCAGTATTCTAAAATGTTTAAGTATCAAATTTCATATCAAAGGTTTTTGGAAAGCCCTACTTCAAAAATGGGTATTTTTAAATTAAGTTTCTTGATGTTAATTGGAGATCGCTCAAACCTCTCATTATTTTTGACAGGTTCCTATAATAAATATAAATAATTGCTCAGATTTTTTTTCTGGTTCCTGTCGGGAGACTTTCAGTTTCTGAATAGTATTGTTTTGTCAG